CCGCCTCTGCCCCTGAGGCCCCACCTCTTTCCCACCTCTTCCCCCCTGAGGCCCCGCCTCTCCCCCTAAGGGCCCGCCTCTGCCCCCTAATGCCCTGCCTCTTCCCCATGAGGCCTTGCCTCTGCCCCACTGGCACCACTTCTGCCCCACCTTTTCCCTCTGAGGTCCCACCTCTTCCCCGAGGCCCCACCTCTGTCTAACGTCTTCCACCTGAGACCCCGCCTCTCCCTCTAAGGCCCCGCCTCTGCCCCACCTCTTCTCCCTGAGGCCCTGCCTCTCTCCCAAAGGCCCCACCGCCCGCCTGGCTCAGGAGGGACTTGCCTGTGGAGCCAGGGCTGGGGGCTGCAAAGGGGCAGGAGGCTGCCCCAGCTGACTAGGGACTGGCGCGGGTGACGACGTGGGACCTTCACATCCCGCTCGCAGTAACCGGGCGTTGGCCGTGCAGTCAGATACCCTGTTCCTTAGGCCAGCGGAGACTAGCAGAGCCGCAAATGGTCTGGCAGCGCCTGGTTGCGGAGTTGCTACCCTCTCCAGGCCAGACTGCCACCGCTGTGGTCAGCCGTGGGGCGTGCCCAAGTCCCCCTCACTCTACCAGTGAAGAGGCAGCTGGCAAGACATCTGCTGGGGGGCTCCCCGCTTCTGGCAGGGGTTCCCCACCCCGGGCAGGAGCCTGGATCTCGGGATTTTCAGGGCTCGCTGCAGAAGCCGCTTGTGTAGGAGGGGAAGTTAGAGAGGGCCGAGGGGGCGACTGTGTGAGGCCAGCGCACCTACCCCTTATATGGGGCTTTCCACCCACAGAGCTTGGCTCATTCCCCCCATTCTACACAAGGGGAAACTGAGGCTCGGGGCTGCGCTGGGACTTCCCCACACTCAGCCAGCCAGCGGCCTCGAAAGAGGGTCAGTTGAGTCTATAGAGCTCTTGCCAGTCCCTTCCCTCACGGAGGCTGCGATAGTCACGGCTGGCCACGGGGGCGGGGGGCAGAGCATATTCCTGCCACGGTTTGAGGGGGGGAATTGGAGGCGGGGCTGGAGCTGTGTTTGCTTTTGCTGTTTAGACTGTTTGGGGGGTTAGTTTGAAAGAGGCTAACTGGAGATGAAGGGAAGCAAGAGGGGGCGACAGGCCGGGGAAGGGGCCAGCAATGGGCGCGG